GAAATGCTGTGAAGGCCTGATCCTGAGTGGGCCCCCAGAGCTTTCTCCCCCACCCTTCCCTCTGCCCTATCAAGTGCTGAAATGGGCACGCATGCCCACCTGTGGCTGTTTCAGCAAGGTGTGTGGGGGGGGAGTGCCATGCCACAGTCCCAATCAGGATTGGGCCATCATGGCATTTTTAAATGACTTTTAAAATGGCAACACTTTAAAGGTAAAGGTAAAGGTTCCCTTGCTCGAAAGCCAGTCGAATCCGACTCTAGGGTTGCGGTGCTCATCTCCGTTTCAAAGCCGAAGAGCCAGCGCTGTCCAAAGACGTTTCCGTGGTCATGTGGCTGACATGACTAAACACCAAGGCACACGGAACACTGTTACCTTCCCACTGAAGTGGTACCTATTTATCTACTTGCAATTTCTTGCTTTCGAACTGCTAGGTTGGCAGGAGGTTGGCAGGAGTGAGTGTACTTTAGGCTGGCTTATAATAATCCAAGTATTTTCCTCTCTACTAGAACTGTAATGATATTTAAGTGATACAACTCTTAATTATTACAAATAACATATTTGACCAGTGCAAAACTTTATTTTCCATTCATTAGCTTCAGATAATCTAGTGAAATTAAGACAATGATTTAAATTTGAAAAAGGAAAACCATATGCTCCAATGGTTAGGAAGAAACACTTGTTGAATCTCCAGAAAAAATAAGTCTGAACCTTTGCTTCTCAACTTTCAGAACTAAAGATCAACACTAGTACTCACGTAAGCAACAGCTGAACATTTTGACAACAACTACAGTGGCTTGCTGTTATTAATAATTTGGGTTGTATGTGCTATGTTAGTTTTCTACAATTAGGTTCCCTCTGTCAAAGTAATGCCTCATCTCGCTCTAAACAACATTTACAAAAGGATAAATGAACTCCATCATTAAAACTAATGTCAAGATAACACTGCAGAAACAAACATGAATATTAAGTAATCAAAAGCTTAATGACTTCAGTTTAAGTGTGTCATGATGTGTACAAGTAGAAATCATTCTTATCCTCTTCAGTCCAGACAGGAAGCAACAGAAACAACAGAAGCAACCACATTTTTTGAAAACCTGGTTCACATGTATAGTGGGGGATGGGGACTCCAATACTTTGAGCAAAATGGACATATTGGGATCTTAAAATATCCTTCATCTATAGCTTATCTCTAGGAATGGACACAAACCGCAAATCCATACAAACAAGGAGGTTGGCTTGCGAACTGAACTGGTCCATATGGGTTCATGACCCCTGCTTTCTGCCCTCCACCACTTGTCACAGGGAACAGAAAGCAGAGGTTTAAATAGCTCCAAGCCATTTAAACCAAACAACTGTGCAGCACTCCACTGCTCGGCTACTTGGTTTAAATGGCCGGAAGCCATTTCAACACTTGCTTTCTGCACTTAATGGCTGGGAGCTGTTTGGTTTCAATGGCTTGGAGCTGAACCCAAGAAAGCCCCTTTAAACATATGAGCCACACTGAGCAGTTTGCTCCGCATGGCTCAGCTATTTAAAGGGGCTTCCGTGGACAGCAAGGTGAAGAACACCCCTTTAAGCAGCTGAGCCACATGGAGCAGTTTGCTCCATGCAGTTCAGCTGTTAAAGGGGCTTTCTTGGGCTGCTAACCCCAGGGGCTGGTGGTCCAAGAACACCCCTTTAATCAGCTGAGGCATGCAAAGCAGTTTACTCCATGCGGCTCAGATGTTTAAATGGGCTTTCTTGGGCAGTGAGCCCCAGGGACTGTTAGCCCAAGGAAGCACCTTTAAACAGCTGAATGCAGGAGCAGTTTGTCCCAAGTGGCTCAGCTGTTTAAAGGGGCTTTCTTGGGCAACTAGCCCCAGGAGCTTGCTGACCAAGAAAGCCCCTTTAAACAACTGGGCTGCAAGAGCAGGCTCAGCTGTTTAAAGACCAAAATAACTGAACGGCAGGAACAGGTTGCCTCTGTGGCTCAGCTGTTTCCAAACTAAACAGCTGAGCAGCTGGGAGCCGCCACCAAGAAAGTCCTGGCCCTGGTTGTAGTCAGCCTGGCATTCTTGGGACCTGGGAAGGCCAATCGGTTTTGTGACCCTGACCGTAGTGCTCTCTGGGGTATATATGTGGAAAGGTTGTCCCTCAGGTATGTCGGACCCTGGCCATAAAGGGCTTTAAAGGTAAGAACCAGCACCTTGAAGCAAATTTGGTATGCTATCGGCAGCCAGTGCAGTGTCTTCAGTGCAGGCTGTATGTGCTCCTGCATGAGGAGGTCCATCAGGAGCCTGGCCGCAGTATTTTGCACTAGCTGCAGTAGTCTAATCTCAAGGTGACCATCGCATGGTTCACTGTTGCCAAGTCGTTGCATTCAAGGAAGGGAACCAACTGCCTGATCAGCCGAAGATGGTAAAAGGCCGACCTGGCAGTGGCTGCTACCTGGGCCTCCATTGCACCAATGGTGCCCCATTGAAGGTCGGGAGTGGGATCCCTACCCTCAGACTGCCCCGACTCAGGCACAGGACCTCCGTCTTTGTTGGATTCAATTTCAGTGAGCTCAGTCTAAGCCAACCAGCCACAGCTTGTAACTCCTGGTCCAGATCTTCCAGTCTGGAGCCAGACTGACCACCCAATGTCAGATAGAGTTGGGTGTCATCTGCATACTGGTGACATCCCAGCCCATAACTCCAGGCAATCTGGGCAAGGGGCACATATAGTTGTTGAATAACATCGGGGAAAGCACCACCCCTTGAGGTACTCCACACTCCAGTGGGTACCTTTGGGAGAGCTGTTCCCCTAATGCCACCCTTTGTCCCCGACCATGGAGAAAGGAGGCAAGCCATTGCAAGGCAAGCCCCTGAACTCCTATGTCGGCACAGTGGTGGATCAGTAACTGATGGTTGACTGTGTCGAACACTGCCGAAAGGTCCAACAACAACAGTTCTGCCAAACTGCCCTAATCCAGATGCCTCTGAAGATCATCTGTGAGGGTGACTAGTGCTGTCTCCGTCCCGTGGCCCGGGCAAAAACCGGACTGGAAAGGATGGGATTACTCCTTTTGTTTTATTGGGTGATAAGCAATTAACAACAACTATTCACTGCTCAAGATCATTGTTTCATAGAGCTTTTATTGGATAAAAGGTATCTTCTGCATGCACTCCTGCAGCCATAAACTGGCCTGCAGCCAAAGATTTGGCTTGGAAGTTACAATTAATATAGGAAGTTTATTCTGCTCAAGCTACAAACCAACTCTTTGGGCTCCTTGGCCCCAGAGTTTCATCTTCCAAATTTTCCTTTCTGTGCTTATTCCAACAACTAGAATTCTTCCATAATTTAGTATGGCAAAAATAATACAGAAAGGCCAGATTTCATAATGATGCAGTACTCATAAGCGAGGTATTTTGTTATTAGGATAATTTAGTTTTATCCCACAGATAATCTATTGCAAGACACCTTCCAGAATTTCTGTGTTTGTAGGAGTACCAGTATCAGAATACTTCCTAGGCATCTTAAGAATAGAGACCTATTCATTTTCTAGAACAAAGCTTGAGTCCAGTGGCACTTTTAAGACCAACAAAGTTTTAGTCAAGGTATAAGTTTTTGTGTGCATGCACACTTCTCTTTAACTATCTGTGTTCCCCCAAAACCTATTCATCTTCTGTTACTTAGAAAGGGGCTATATCTTTGTACTTATCTGAGAAACAAACACCAGTTTAAGTTGCCCAAGAAAATAGTTTTTAGGCAATGGATAAAGATCATAGTCTTCCAACTATTTTTTTTTATTATCATCAATTACCACCATTTAGTGTTAGGTCTTTTGTTTTCAATTCAGAGTGGAACAATAATGATGCTTTCATTCAATGATAATCATTCAAATTCTTTCATTTTTGCATATGAAAATCTTCTCAGTTTTCTCTTTTAAAAAAAATAATAAACAGGGGCATCTTTAGTGTAATGGCACAGGGCTTAGAGAGGAATAAGTCTGCACTAATGCTGACCCTCTGCAGTGGGGGTGGAGGTGGGAGCTTGCAGAAGAAGAAAAATCCTTGATGATCTGTGGAGAAAAGCCACCCAATTTTCTCTTATTTGTAAAACAGCAACTTCTTTTCAACCTTTCAACACAAAAATAACAACAGAACCTTTCTCTGAAAAAATAATAAAACACAGTAATTTCTTGACAAAAGATGTCTGACAAGATTTTCAATAAGGACAAAGAAGAAAAAAAGGGGGGGGGGAAACTGAACCTAAACCTAGAATTCAGAACCTAAAAAGGTTAGTTTTCTATTCCTGACTAACCTTGACAAGATTTTCAAACCAGGCTCTTGTATTTTCAGCCACACTATCAAGTAAAACTGAGTATAACACTTTGGCTGTGTAAAAGTCCTCTTATTCAAGTACTGCTATTGTTTCTCTACTTTTTGCAAAAAAATTCTGGGAAATTTATTCTGGGGAAAATTATTCTGGGGGGAAATGATGGGTTTTTTTAAAGTAAGGACATGTTGTCTTCTACAAAAAATGGTATCAGAACGATTCTGAATATTGGTGAAAAACAGTCATTTATTACTATCTAGTTTTGACAATCCTAAAGTGAAACTATGAGTATAGAACTATTATGAATGTAAACAGCAATTTGCAACCCAATTGTAAGTTTCTATTTTCTCAGAAGTCAGTTTCAGAAGTAAATAGACATAAGATTCAGCACAAAGACGACTTAAAATGCTTATCCTGGGGCTTCCAAGCATAAAATTCAACATAATATAACAAAAGTATATAAAAAAGAACCAGTGATATCTATGCATTTGTATTTTTCACTGAAATATGAACAAAAAAAAATGAAATGAGACTGATGTTGTTATGGTCCAGGAGTAAAAATAAAGGCTTTCATTAAATGTTTATATTATATATATTTCCAATTAACAAGGTTCCTAAAACACTGTAAAATAAAACAAGTATTAGAGATTCTTTAGACTGAAACATCATACGTAATAGGTAAGTGCTATGAGTCAGCCTACCTCTTTTTGCTTTCTGCTACCTGTTTGCAGACTTCCTGCCACCGAAAATTCAGGCTTCCTAGTTTTTCCTTCAGTACACCAGCATCTGCTGTAGACGACTGCTCAATAATATCCTCTCCAGTTACATTCAATGTTCTGACAACAGGTTGCTGATTCTCAATGCCATCCTGGAGGTCCTACAATATATAAAATAACTGAATAAACATATAGTACAGTATATTTCTAACCAGACAGACATTGGGTTGGTTCAGTCATCATAAAAATATGGTATAATTATGGTTGTCATAACTGTGGTTAACACAATTGTTCACTCCACTATTTATGAATGAATAGGGAAAATCAATCTAAAATCTGAAATCATGATGTGACATTGACTTGTTAATCACAGATAATCTTAACTATGGTTTCTTGATATATGAACACAAGACATCCTGGCTTATTACTCAGCACTGCCCTCACTGTGATGTGGGCTGGGATACCAACCAGGTATAAGTGGAGAAGAAGAAAGAGTGAAGACACTGAAACCAGCATTTGTTGAATCAAACTAAAGTTTGAATGATCATTTGTGAGCTGAATCCTGGCTTCATGAACAAACCATAATTAAAATAGACCATACTTCTGCATTGTCTGAACTGATCCAATATCAGAGGAAAGCGTGATAAAGAACATTTTTCTTACCTTATATCCCAAACATGCCAATACAAAAAGTATTTTTTATCATTCCATTGCATGTTTCTGCAAAGTCTCATCCTTTTCTTTAAAGAAAAAAAATGAGCTTAATGACATGCTAGAGAATGTTGATGCTATAGTCATATTTAAGCAATGAGGCCATAAGCATTGAGCAGATGATCCAAACAGCATGTCCTTTGTGCTGTCCTGTAGTCCAGAACAATTTGTCTGATAATTTCTGGTCCTAATCAACTCTGTTCTAACATTCAAATGTTGCACACTCATGCACTGGTGTACAGGAAAGCATCTTGTTATCTTCTGAAGGAGACATTAAGCTGCAGCCTATCACTCTCAGCTTATAGTGATACATTCGTGAGATGCAAAAGCTTTCCTAAAACACAAGAGGCTCTTTCACCAGGGAACACGCTGCTGACAGAGGAACAGAGTGATTCTTCTGACTATGTGGAGCATGGACACATCTTACAACTATGACTTCATAAACTTCTATGAATATTGTCTGTTCTCCATGCCCTGATGGTACAATTTTTCCATGATATGAAATCTGGTCTTGTCGAACACCTGTTGGAGTTCCAGCTTCCACAAAATAACGTGTTGTTTTTCTATTATGTATAGTCTAATTGTACACAACGTTAAGAAACTTAGGGATTATCAAATAACACATGTTAAAGAGTCACAGAAAAGACTGAATATTTTGATTGCACCATAAATGTTATAAGGCTTCAACATTTGCCAGTAAATTTCTTGTGCTTTTAAGCCGTTTCAGTCTTTTTTTCCTTTTTTTTTTTTTAAACTTAAACAGCAAGGGACAGGAATGAGAGTCCTGTAATGCCTTTGTTACTTTGAATCTTCAAAAGAGTATGCAGTTTTAAAAATATTCTCACTGCAGTTTCTTCTTTGCTGATGCCAGTTCATTAGTCCTTTGCCTTGCTGAATTGACACTTCAGAAAGCAGTACCTCCTGTCAAAAAGCGCTGCCTCTAGAAGAGACAGTTCAGTAAAGCATAAGGAATGGCAGTCTATGGGCAACAATGATACTACATTAAAACAAAAAGAAGCAAAACTTTTAAATGCAGATACCTCTGGTGGTAAGGATGGGGGGAGGGAGAAGAAGCGCAGGTATCAGTCACTCCTACACATAAGTATTTTTCAGTACTACAGTTCTGGTAATTCATAAGCAAAATACACAAAGAAGAACCAATAGTCACAGGTACTGTAGAAGCTGGAAAAGCATGTCCCAATGGTGTGCCCAGTCACCACCAATCAGTTCCTTTGATAAGATGCTCTTGGATAACAAGTAAGATAAATCTGAGTCTAATTTTTTCTGTTACACACCATGCACTCTTACAACAGCTAAAGATCTGAAGTTATTCCAGATCACTTAAATAGGACTACAAGCATGTTCTGTTAACTTAATCCTGACAAAACAGAGGTGCTACTGGTGGGCAGATGTTCCTGGACCTGTTGTTGGATAAACAGGTGGCAGTGGTGGCCAAGAGTGTTTTCCAGCAACTATGGCTGGTGAGCCAGCATGGCCTTTCCTGGGGAGAAAAGATCTTGCCACTGTGGTGCATATCCCGCTAACATCTAGATTAGATTACTGCAATGTGCTGTACACAGGGCTGCCCTTAAAGAATGTCCAGAAGTTACAGCTCGTACAGAATGCTGTGGTCAGAGTGTTGACTGGAGTGGGTCTAAACCAGAGGTGTCGAACTCGTTTGTTATGAGGGCTGGATTTGACAAAAATGTAACTTTGTCAGGCCCGGCCAAGGCCATGTGTGCCATAAAACAATCCTAGGTACCGGAGATATAAACTGCATAAAGAACAGCAGCTGGCAAGCTCTGAGTTGGTATATCCTCACTGCAGGGTCCCATGGGCTGGGAGGGGTATGTGCAAAGGAAAAGCCATATGGGTGGACTGGAGAGCCAGTGGTGCAGCACTGGGCTGTCGCTCCCACACTGCTTCACTGCTACAGGTAAGGTTGTTCTGTTATGCTGAAGCCACAATCAGTGGCTCTGCCCCCCCCCAACAGTCTTCTGTCCCCTCCCTTGCACTAGTTGCTTGCAGGCTGCATAAGAGCCCTGGACGGGCCAGTTCCGGCCCCCGGGCCCTATTTTTGACACCCCTGTTCTAAACTATATTTAGACTCTTCCATAAAGATTCTTCCTTATTACTGTTCTGCAGACACAATAATAAAAGAGTCCTGAGGCACATTAAAGACTAACAAATCTGTTTCAGTATAGGTTTTTATGAGAGAGGGAACTGAAATAAGAATGGATTTAAAGGTCTATTTATCAGATTCATCCTATTTTGCCAGAACATCAACAGTTTAGTGCAGTCTCCCACTCTAAGTAAACTGTTTACTTGTTTGACTGGATCATGTAATGTAACACACCTGGTCTTGAAAAGTGGATCTTCTGACCTCACTTTGTAGCTCTTTATGTATACTGAATGTAATACTTCATGTTTCTGATGAAACAGCTCTGTCTCATGAAAACATATGCTGCAATAAATGCAATAATATTTACGGTGTCACACGACTGTTCAATATTTTGAATTAGCCTGCTTTAGTCACCCTTCGTCTCTCAAAGGAGACTTTGTTTACATGCATTCATTAATCTAGTCCTGTATATGCATATTTATGGTTTCAGATTTAGCACTCTTGGCACAAACATTAGGAACTAGCAGACAGCAGCAAATGGACCTTGCAATTAAAATCTGACTGGTTCAGTCCGAGTATGCCATTAGTGAAACTGGACATGTGCCAAACCCATTTCTTCACAATCATTTTTCCCTCTTGCTCTGACACAGGTCACACTGTATACATGTAGAAATATATTTTATCATAGTTGCGATTCACAGGCACATCTGACATTTTGAAAAACAGGGAATTCTAACAGCAACAACATTTTTCCTCTAACGTTGTGTGTGTGTGTGGAGAGAGAGAGAGAGAGAGAGAGAGAGAGAGAGAGAGAGAGGTATTAACTTATCTGCCTCTAATTGTAAAGAACTTCCCAAAGAACCATAAGAAAAACATTTATCAGAGTAGTTTTGCCATCATGACTTAATGATTACTATTAAATACTATATAAGTAGGTGTGAGGTGTACATACATACTGTCCAAACAAAAAAAATTACTATTATTCTATTAAATAAATTAATTATGATAGGACTCTGAAGTTCAGGGCAGTATTTCAACTACGAGCTTGCGGGGAGGGCGGATTATAAATATAAGAAATAAATAAATAAATAAATAAATATCCATAGTTCATATTAATATATAAAACAATATCATGGCTTCTAGAGAGAAGAACGAAGAGCAAGACCTTTATCTTTAAAAGCACAAGCAGATTGTAGAGACCATATGTTCCTAGATAACCTATAAAAGCTCTACATCCATAGGAGCTAAGATGTTTCCATATGGGTATAAAAATGTATAAAAGTTGATATTGCTGCATAGCAGAACATTAACAAACTCCTATCTTCCTCTAACTTAATAGTCTATTTTCAACAACACTGAAAACTTCAGGGCAGGCAACTTTGCTTGAAAGGAAAATGTAACAATACTTAACCAAAAAGCATTTGTGTTTCTTGTCCATCTGGGCCCAGTAGGGTTAGATTGGTGGCAACCCAAGAAAGGGCTTTCCCTGTTGGAGCACCAAACCATTAGAATTCCCTCCCCAGGGAGATTAATCTGTCTCCCTCTATCAGTATCTTCTGCCAGCAGATGAAGACTTTTTCATTCCATTTGGCATATCCACAATAACCATTATTGGCTCTCCTCCCTTGTACTAGTGTCATTTATGTGTTTTTATTGAATTATTTTATAATTTTAAAATATTTTTTTAATTTTTCAAATGTTCTAAGTGGGTCACCTTGGAGTTCCTTCAGTGGGTGGAATGGCAGTACAAAAATATTTTAAATAAATAAAAACTGTCTCAGCAAAGCAACTTGTTGACTACTGTTAACCACATTTAAAAAAAATTACAATCCTTTATAACAAGCGAAAGTTGGCAAAATCATAACTTTTAATAGGAGCAATTTACCATGGTGTGGAAAACAAACAAATATTATTTCAGCAATGTTAATAGTTACCAAGTGTAAACATCACTGGTTGATTTATAGGGATATAACTCTTCCATAATGCATCTAATTGCATACCCTTGCATAGATGGAGTCTAAGGAGGGGAATTCTTCTTGATCACAGATGGTAATCAGTTTATACTGGAAACAGGATTGATAGTCCCTATAATTTTATTTTAACTAATGTACTGTAACTGCAGATGGCATTCTGATTTATATAAATACATAATATCTCAGTGGAACATAGCAGGTTTTTTAATGACAATTCCATTCATTCTTTTGCATTTGTACAACAATTTCTAGATTTTAGAAACCTATGAAAACAAGCACCTGATGCCCTTATTCCAACCTACACAATACTGTATATGGCACAGAGCAGGGGTGTTGAACTTATGGGCTGTGGGCCAAATCCAGCCTGATGTGACCTGCAAGGCAATCACAGTTGGGAGTGCTGCGTAGATCAGACAGCCCAGGGGAACACCAGCCACAAAGCTTTCTGTGGCAGTTATCTGTGCCTATGGTTCGTCTGCTTCTCTTGCAGTATTTGCCTCCATTGTCTCCTCTAGCCAGCCTTGTGGTCTGTCTTCTTTCCACTAGCTTCTAGGTCCTCTCCACACTTGGATCTCATCCCTGTTTTTATCAGAGTTCAACTCGCGACACAATACCTTGCATTTATCCCTGGTTATAACAGCATCCATTTATCCCGGGACAAGTGTGGGGTGAAACCGGGGTGACCTCAATATAGTGTGGAAACAAAAAAATATCCCAAGATAATTACAGGGGTGAACTTGAGTGTTGTGTAGAATGTAAAACTACCCCGAGATAATTACAGGGGTGAACTCGTGTGTAGTGTAGAATATAAGTTCGGGGACAGGGTAGAACCAGAATTTAAGGTCTAGTGCAGAAACGAAACTAGTCTTTCCCCCACTGGCAATCTTCTACTGTGTCATCTGTTTCTATTTTGCCATGCTTTCCTCCTCAATCTCTCTTTCGTAGAGGCAGGGCTTTTTTTTTCTGGGGGAAAGCATCGGAATGGAGTTCTGGAACCTCTTTGACAAAATTCTTTTTAAAATGTTTAAAGTTCATGAGTTTTCAGTGTGCAGATTGAAAACTTCATTGCCCTCTTGAGAGTTCTGCCACCTCTTTTTCCCGAAAAAAAGCCCTGTGTAGAGGTAAATTGGACTGTGGGGGCAGAAGAAAGTTGGTTCTCTTTACCCAGGAAACTTCCTCTCCAACAACCCTGTGATGGGGGGGATGTTTTCCCTTGTTTACAAAATGCTGGTACTCGGTAAAAATGTGCATGGATTCCTCTCCTCCTTTAGAGCAATGAGGCAAGCAAAAAAAAAATCCATCCAGTGAAGATACAATTAAAGCTAGTTATATCAGCATTTATAAAATGAAATATTGTAATATTTCTGATCAAGATGATTTGAAAATATAGCAACTAAGAGAGTTTTACCATAACTGATTTTTTTTGTATGGGTAATGTATGTTTATTTTACTTCTATACACATACCTGATACCAGACCTTCA